TCTTGTGGAGATTTAGTGGGTTTAGAAATAACTTAGAGAGTATAAGTCTACATTTCGCTAATTTATGTGATTGAACAATATTCTGTGTGGTGACCATCCTGTGTAATACCTCTTCGTGGAAGGACGTGGGTGATGCCCACCACCAGAGGGCAAACCCAGCCTGCTCCTAGTTCTGCAGCCAACAGTCCTGCCTCAGGAGGACTCGGAGCACGTGGTTCCTTCTTTCAGGTTTCAGTTGAGCACCTTCTGGCTCCAGATGATGGTCCCTGCTATTGCCCAGTTATTGTTCCAGACGAAGATGGACATGTGCCTCAGCCTCAGCCTGGGGCTCTTTGCTTTCAGGTAGAGCTCCAGACACTCAGACCTGAGAAAGTGCCAGCACTGGAGAAGGAGAAGGTTTAGGTTTCATCTAACACAGGGTGAATCTGGGAATGTGAAGCTGACACCCAAATGTGTTTTAAGTAACAGGAAAGTCCTCATTTTGTATTAAGTCTTTCACTTAATTAAAAAGGAAACTCAGTCCGTATACAGAACTACAACCTACAGAGCAAGCTAATGACTTGTGCTAATACAAGGTTTAAAGCCACTATCAGGTTTCCACTTGATTTATGAGACAGGGTATTCTCAATTTAAATTGGAACTTTATTACAAACACTTTCCTTCAAAATGATTCATCCATTACAGAAATCAATGGGAATTTCATTTTGTTGAAACTGAATTTTTATGAATAGCCAGGTGAACATCTGTAATTTTGAAGCCCAACACTTAGATGCCCATTTAGGAGTAGAGAGGCCTTCACGGTTCAAGATTAATATGATTTTTAAAAATTCATCTTGTAGACATCACAAATGTCTAGATGATGGATTATGCTAATAAGGCAGTTATTTAATTATAATTAATGGTGGAGGCAACATATAAAGAATGGGCTCAATTCACAGCTGATTTAAAGAAATGATATATCCTACATAACTCTGTCATTCACTGAGAACTGTATTTTTATAGGTACAGCAGACACTGCAAATATATCTGGTGGCTGCGTTTGTTCTCATGCCATTTTGAAATGACGGTTTTTAGGAATGGCAACATCAGAGCAGGAAGCCTGTCAGCCCCTGCACTCCTGTTCCTGGCATGACTCGATGACATGGCTAAAGAGGGAAAGTCAAGGAAACTGTGACCCAGAGAACRACGTTCTGGGAGATGAAATTTATGGGGTAAGAAAGAGACGAAAGAACATTTTTATGGTGCTGACGATCTGAGCAAGAAAAGCATGAAGTTAAAAAGAATGTGATCTTGGTAGAAACCATAAAATTCCCTGGTGGCATCACGCACCTAGATAACAAAAGAGCATCTCTTCCATGGAAACTACCAGAGGCTCCACGGGCAGGTGGGAGCCCCCAAGGATTCTCCCAGGTGTCTGAATAATTGACCGTTCTGGACTCCAGGTAGCATGGGTGTCGCCTTCCCAATATCAAGGGGAAGTACAGCTACCCTGACCTGAAAAGGCAGCAAGCACAAAATGCAGGCCCTTAAATGTCCCCCTTCCCGACGGCARTCAATCAATCAATCAAGACTCAGGGTCTCTGACAGAGGAGGACTTGCGGGACAGGATGGTAGCTCCTAGTCAACACTGGAAGTTGTCACTGCTACAGCTATTGCTATCCTAATGGTTTCTAGAAGGTCGATCAACCCTGCCTTTCCTCTTTGCAATTGTGCTGGTGGTAACAACAGCAGGTGCCCCCGTCCATGTGTCCAGGAGGAACCGGGAAGCGCCCGAGGCTTTCTGGTGTTCAACCTGGGCACAGAACAAAGGGAGGACCTAGAAGAATGGCACAGTTCCCCACCCGGGTGCAGTTTCTGTCTTCCCGTCAGCACTTGGACCTCATTTAACAGGAYGCGACCATTCACCCTTGGCATGAGAAACCTGAGCCTCCCACTAGAAGGGTCAGGAGGGTTTGCAGGGAGGTGATCTTTGTGTGACTGGTGGGAACCTGAGAGGAGCCCCTGCCATCCTAAGTCACGGCCTCTTCTCCTGCTCTGGGTTGCCTGCAGCTTTGTTCTAGAGTCAGCAACAGAGAGTCCCTGGTTTCTTCCCTTCATTAATGACAGTTCTTCCCTCTTGAGCCAGAAAAATAATTGCGATATCTTTCTGCATAACATTTATTGTTTTAGTCAACTTTCTTGCTCTGTGACCAAAAGACTTGACAAGAACAATTAGAAGAGGAATATTTATTTTGTGGCTCATGATTTTAGGCATTTCACTGTATAGACAGCCAGGTCCATCCCTCGGGGCTCCAGGTGGGACTGGACACCATGGTGAAGGTTGGTGGAGGAAAGCAGCGCAGAGCATCACACCAGGAAGCAGAGAGGGGGGAAGACTCCATTTGCCAGGGATAAATTATACACCCCAAAGGCACACCCCAATGACCCTCCTCCTCCAGCCACACTGTATCCACCTCCACCTTCGGTTACTAGTCAGTTAATCCCTAGCAGGGGATTAATCCAGTGATTAGCTGAAGGCTCTCCTAACCCAACATTTCACCTCGAAGCCTTCTTGCATTATTTCATACCTGAGCTTCTGGGGATGTCTAAACCATAACACTTATGATGGTGCTTCTCAGTATCCCAGGTCCTCCCTTCAGTGTTTCCTGCCATCATCCTGGTGGCTCTGTGTAGTCAACCTCCTTCTTAGAAGGGTGACACCAGCCTTCTGAACGGAGTCTGCCTGGGTGTGCTCTAGGGGTCATGTCCTGTTAATTGAGATCCAAGTGCATCCGGCCATGCTGTCAGGGACACTCCAGCAAGAACCTGCAGGCTTTGCAGCTGGGGCTGGAGACTAGACCACCCCGCCCCAGCCCTGCCCCCGTGCTTGAGCACTCTTTTTACTTCTTTTAGACCTGGGCACAAATTTTCTACTCCCCTTTCCTCATATTTATAAAATCAAAGTGCATACATTTTAATTATATACTTTAGTTATATGGTACTTAAATAAATGTATGCTTTCATTATATATTTAATTATACTTCCATTGTAGATAATACTTTATGCATATTCTACTTTAATTGTGTATATACCTATTTGTAAAAATATGTGTTGGTTCCAAAAGTTTACGTGATGGCTAGTACATTTAATGAGTTATTGTTAAGTAAGTTATTGCAATTTTCTGCCAACCAGTATGTTTCTTAAATCTGCCAGTTTGGGAGCATTTTTAAATGTGATAGTCTCTATTTTTCATATTTCTTCCTATCACAGATCCCAATGCCAAGGCCACTGTTGCGATCTGAGAACTGATACTTAGACATCTGACTTTGGTTCAATGCTGAGTAACTCACAGAGGCTCCTGAAGAGGAGAGCCAGCACTACAGACCCACCTGGCCAGAGGACCGACAGGCCATGGGCATTCTAAACCCTGACCTGTCTCCCCCATGCTAGGGGTCACCTTCACACAGGTGCACTGGCACAGAGCAGGCTCAGGTGGACTCCCCCCAGTCTACATTGGTGCCACCTCACGGCCAGAGTGTCCCTCCCACACTCACTTTTTCTTAACTACCAGAAGAGGTGCAGCCTCAAGATAAAAGCATCCAGAGGCAGCTCTCCAAAAGGAAAGATGTGTCCTGCCTCCCTCCCAATCAAGAGAAAGCACCTCAGCCTCAGGACAGTGCATTTRCAGCCAGAGGGGGAAGGTGGGAAGTCCCTGGCACCAGCAGGTGAAGGACAATGTCCTTCTGAGGTCAGACACATTTTGATGAAGCAGGTTGCCCTGGATTCTAAGTCAGGCATCGCTGCTGGTTCACCTGCCCCGGCACTGGGTGGCCATGGAAAACCGCTGGCCTCCATGGCTCTCCCCCACCTGAATTTCATCCCCTAAAAATCACTTTTATTCTCCTATTTGTACAAAAGAAAACAATGAAAGTATGCCATAGTTTAACCATTTCAGACAGGAGATGCGCAGACCAACTGCTGACAGTTTACTAAGATCTCCACAAGGAGGCGCCGTGGCTTCCCTCACACTCTGGCTTTCAGGGCAGTCCAGGCGGCAGCTGCCTCTGACCCACTCCTGTCTGCAGTGTGAGGGAGTCTGGCTTCCGGGTTGGGTTATCCTGGTTTCCAGGCATCGCACATGACTCCTGCCCAAGGTCAGGATTTAATGGCTGGTGTCGGGGACTTTGAGAGGCTTGCCTGGGACGGGCATTATGTGCTGAGGACAGTCATGTTATTTTTATTTGCAAATGCAAATGGAATGGTTTTCTGTGGACCACTTAGTAGACTGGATCTTCTTGGCTGTGGTAATGAGGATTAAGGGTTGCTGGAAACGTGGGCATTGATATGCTGCTGTCCAGTTCTAAACATTGGGAATCCGATGCCAAGAGGAATTTTCAGTCACAYTGCCTGCTGAGGACCACAGACTGTCCACCTGTGCTCAGTTTCAACAATCCCAGAACCTCATCTGAGATCCGCAGTATGTAGGGAGTCAGTCAGGTACCTGGGTTTGCAGTGTGAAGATCTCTTAGGGCTGAAATGAGATCATGATGATCTGCATGTTTTCATACCACCTGTCTGCTCTACYGCTCTTGGTGTGTGAATGAACACAATGTCCAGGCAGTCTGGATATTTCCTGGTTATGCTTAAGTACTTAAAATCAATGCCAAAACATACTTATTGATTAAAATTTACCAACACTTTCAGCAAAATAAGAAACTACAATTCATACTGTCATAGTACAAAAGATTTTCTATGGAGTTGCTGGTTGCTGCATATAAAATTTCCAAACTTAACGGCTCTTAATACAGTGAGAATCATGATGGACACCACTGAAATACAGAAGACAGTGACAAAGTGCTTTCAAGTTTATTTATATCTCTTTTAGCATCTTTAGCAAGGTGCTAAAATTTTTAGGGTTAGAAAGGACAACCATGCCTTCTGTTTGTATATATGTATATGCAGGTATGTATGTATATATATATATATAATTTTTTTTTCCTTTTAAGCTGGAGCATTCTTACCTTGAAACTGAGCGTTGAAGCCCTTGCGCCGATGGTTGCTATCGGATGTGAAGTGCAGCCGCAGCCAGTTCTTGCTACTGATGACAGGAGAGGGAAGGTTCATGCCCGTGAGCCTACAAAAGAGAGAGAGGAGAAAGGTCTCCCTTGTAAAAAACACAGAGGAAACATYCTATACCTAAATCCTACTTCAGAAGTGGATTCTGTTATTCTTTTTTGCGATGGTTAAAACAGAGGTGATATATTAGTTGCCTTTGAAACTTAAAATGATTTGGATAGCTTTATCTTTGCCCAAATATAAATGCTAAATTTACCCTTGATCAAATGGAAGCTTTCAGAAACATTTGACATTTTGGATCTTCCTTGTTAATGATGAATACATGAGAAGACATATTTTCGATCTCGTGTCATTTCCTCAGGACCTTAATCACAATGAGTCATTAAAAGAAAAAGAAATAGGCAAATGAGAAGACTCTGCCTTTCTCCATCTGGACACTCCACAGTTCTATTAATCTGGAGTCGGCTGAAACACACTGTTTATCACGTGTGGTAGGGGCCATGTTTCCCACGTTCCATCTGCAGAATCCGCAGCCCAGGCCTCTCCCACTGACATAAAGGAAAGGATCATTTAGAAGATGGATGACAAGAACTGTCAAAGAGATCTGAAATGGAATAAAACCATGTTTTACTAAAGTAGTGTATTCATCTTTTAAAAAGGAGATACGCTCCATCTCTGTTCTCTGTTTAGAGCATCCAGCCAGCTCCCCAGCGCCCAGGTCAGCTGTCAGAAACACTGGAGCCCTCCCCTGGCCCCGTTGACCACGTCCCATGCTGGCAGAGGAAGAGAAGCCTCTCAGGAATCATGGCCCTGTGCRTCAGAAGAACAAGAAACGCCCTCAGCTGGGCTGGGCTGGAGCACCCCTGGAGAGCAATACCCCAGCGAGATCGTGCTCTGGCTCTGCCGTGTGCTGGCAGAGGCTCCGAAACTCTGTTATGACGCTTAGTTTCCCCAYCTACAAACTGGACATGAAAATCAGTCATCCCTCGATATCCACAGAGGATTGGGGCTCCCCCTAGGCACCAGAACCCATATATGCTGAAGTCCTTTATATGAAAAGGCACAATATTTGAACATAGCCTACGCACTCCTGAGTTTGAATCATCTCCAGGTTACTTAGGATACCTAAGAAAATGTAAGTACTTGTTAAAATGTAAATAGTTATTATGCTGTATTGTCTAGGGAATACTGACAAGAAATAAAAGTGTGTACGTGTTTGGTACACATGCATGATTTTAAAATATTTTTCCATCTATGGATGGTTGAACCTGTGAACGTCTACATGAAGGAGTTGGAGAGGTTAGGTAGATGCTCACGTGAATGGACGCAGAGCACACTTTTTATGCCACTGGACTTAGATGGTAATGCACTATATAATTATGCTGTATCTCAATTGCCAAATCTGTTTTCAAAATGATGCTTATTAGCATAGATGATCCGGAAAGGATCCACCAATCTGTTTTTAGGAGAATCATGCGCCCTGGAAGCTCTGGGCTGGAAGCACACATTTGTGTGGTCAAGRGATGCCTCATTTCTCTGCACAGGATTTGCTGGAAAATGTTTAGCTATGGGGAGCATTTCCTACTTATTCCATTACCTGGAGGAAAAGCAGTCAAATGACATATGTAGTCAAGCTTTCTGATGTCAGGGTGCTCAATTTCCACTGCCAATCTCTAAATGTGCACGATCCATTTAAAGTTAAAAGTCAAACCTTGACTGTAACCAATTGCAACAGTGTTTATGTCACTGTGTGAAGGAATCTGTGAGAGGAAACAGTGCTCAGACTGGCCTATTTGCTGGATTTGTCTGCTACTAGGGTGACAGCTGGACAAAGCGACTCCAAGACATGCATCACCTTCTTTCCCTATTGAGATTATGATGCTCTTTCTATTGGTCACAGCCCCCTCCACTAACACCAAGAATGTCTGCAGGAGAAGTCAGTCTGGATTCAAGAATCCCCAGCCTACCCAGCTCAGCTTCACTCTCATATGACCTGTTCATAACTGAAATCAACTTCTACTCTGTTGTTGCTTTAAAATTTATGTTTTTCTCAATTAGATTACTCTTGATGGTTCTAATCACAAAAGCTAGGTGGAACTAACAAGGTTGGCACACACAGCCGCTGTTCCCCAACTGCCTTTCCAAACACCCCACACAGGAATGTCTGTTTTGTGACAGTCAACAAACCTTTCTCTGTACAGGGGCCAGGTAGTGGGTATTTTAGGTTTGGGACTACGGATGTGACTCAGCTCTACAGAGTTTGTCTACCATGTGCAAGGTCCTGGGTTCCATCCCCAGCACTGCCAAAAATAAATAAATAACTGAATTAATTATTCTAGGGCCAAAAATAAATAAATAACTGAATTAATTAATTATTCACACGGTCTCTGTTACAACTGGTCAACTCTGCTTCAAGAGCTGCCTCATGATGGGTGGGACTGTGTTCCCACAGCACTTGTCAACATTGACACCTGGATTTCAAATATCGATTTTCTGTGTCACAAAATATTGATTACTTTTTAAAACGTCTTCACATCAAGTTAAGAATGGAATAACTCATTCTGAGCCTATGGGCTAAGCCCAGGGGGCAACAGCTTGTGACCCCTGGCCTTGGTATACAAAGGCCATTTGTGAATCACAGAGTAGAAAGAAATTCAGATGGTACGCATCAACCTAACGAGACTAAGGCGTCAGAGTAAAAGGCACAACTTCTTCACAGATTCCTCTCCTCTGGAATCAGGCATGAGGACTTTAACAATTATGTAATTCATTTTGCAGGCTGGAGCCAAGCTGTGCCAATGAGTCCTATTCCAAAGGAGATGAATCTCTTGATTTTCGCTTGTGAGTTAACAATAATTGTGCCCACTTGGGGATGGGGTCACTCTAGACAAGGCCTCTCCTTGGAAGGGCAGGTTCCTTGGTCACTGTCCACAGGACTGGGGTAAGGTTTGGCTGACTTTCAACTCAAAGATTCTGCTCTGAAGTCAACTGTTCTTTCACTGAAAACCCATGTAAAGGAAGTYGATTAGTCTGCAAACCAGGAGATGATTTGGGAATTTGCTCCGTATGTGGATGACTCAAGTAAGACTTAGAGGTGGAGAGCTCAACAGCAGTTCTCTGGGCAGGCGTAACGAGGGCCTCGGGCTGCCCCCATGCTGAGGCCCTGCTGCCCAGCCCCTGAGCACCACACCTCACCTGCCGTTCAGACAGGCAAAGGGTCATTCTGACTCCTTGGTGGGCCCAGTATAATCCAGGTAGCCTTGGGGCTGAGAGGAGGAAGCGGAAGGCAGTCATGGAGAGAGGGGCCTACTAAGAGAGTCAGGCCGCAGGGCTCCACAGCACCGCTGGTGGGCAGGACAGACCGGGAGGGCCACAGGGGCCCCACTGCCCTTCTACGCCAGGGGCCGGCGTCCTGCAAGACCTGTCCGGACCTCGMGGGCAGTGTCTGTTGGTGTGAGCCACGGGGTGTGGGCTAGCCAGGGGCAGTGGACGAGGAGCCGCTGATCTTGTGTGTATCTATCTGTGAACCGATGCGGCGGCAGGTGCAGCTTCTCACATGTCAACATCCTTCAACACAAACAGAAACCCAGATACGATCTTCCAATAAGTGTGCCCTATTTTTCATTCTTAGGCAGTACTGAAGAAAAGGAAATATGGTGGGACATTTCATTACTCTATATCTGTGAAGAATCTCGCAAAATCAGTGCAGTTGAAGCCTTTTCTGGGACTATCAGGGACTGGAAATCTAGGTGGTCAGAGGGTTTCTGACAGGGCCTCCAGGGTCATTTTCCTACCTCATTGTTTTCCTTCTTTAATTTTGGTGCTAGGATTGAACTCGGGGCTTGGCATGGATATTTTTTAAGTCTACTGAATTCGTTTTTTAATAAATAAATGGTTTTGGAAGTGAGACAGGTCAACATTCAGGAACTGATATGAAGACACACAGCAGAGACATTCTGAGGACAAGTGAGGACATCAGGGCGGGTGTCTGTCACTGTCCTGGTACCTGGGCTCACAACCTCTGTCCTCAGGAACAGAGCAGATGATCCCCTGGGAAAGAAGGTGGCCTCTGGGTCGAGGATACTGGGCTCCAGCTGAGTGTGGGGTGATGAGAGGTGACCTCAGTCCAGGGAGAGCACTTGCCGGGTGGCTGCCRAGCTGTCCTGTGCCCTGAGACCAGGGCCAGGAAGCCTGCAGCACCCTGCAGGGAGAGGGCCCTGCTGCCCTGCAGTGCAGCCTGGCCACCCCACTGTTTTCTCCTGAATGCCAAACGAAGCCACTCTCCACACTGGCAGACTCCTCTTCCCCCAAAGGATTCAAGAGGGAGAATACATGTGGGACCCGTGGGGTACTTCAAGTTGGACGGCCTGCTCTAGCCCAAACAGCGCAGGCTCCTCGGTCCCTCCTTCTCCAGGTGGGTGGCCGCGGATCTGAGGAGCCTGTTTGTAGCAGTCCCCTGGCTCACTCCTCGCCCAACCGTCCCCAGCCTCGCTGTGGCGAGTGGTTCCCCCGACAGTCTCAGCCCCTGCCTCCGAGACTCATGCAGTCCACCRTGGAACTCGAAAAGTGAAGAGACAACTTGAGACGCTTTCCTAAGCCGCACCTGGAAATGCTAAAGGTGTGTGAAATGTCTGTTGGAGCACTTCTGACAGGACGCCAAATTACTTATATTTTTAGAAAATCATCATAGAAATCACAGGGACTCTCCTCTGCATTTGAACCTTTTTTTGATGAGTAAGAAGCCAGAAAGTATCAGTACGCTTAGGGCAGACTTGAAACCACTCCACTCCCCCAGGAGACTGAGAGGTTCAATAAACCCATTACTTCCAAGAGACTGACGGCTGAGGAACTGGGGGAATGTCTCACAAAAAATGCAGAATTTTCCCCTGTGTTCCTGTGGATGTAGGACTGAGATGACTCACAGGGTGGTTTCTCATGCATCTGTTTTGTTAAAATTAAATAGAATATTCYGATCAAATGGAGAGTTCCAGAAATGTCATGTTTCCCATGGGGTGTCTTCTCTATTACAAGGGAAATCGACGCTTATGAGCCAGAATT